TCAACGAGACACACCAAGTTCTTCTGGCTCAGATGGCCATACCGACGATGCCATAACTCGTCACACTTACGAACTTCGCCGCACGAATACAGCAACGACGCATTTGCCGCCTTATCAACCGCGTAAAACTCGAGTTCGTAGAGCAAATGACCACGCTTACCGATCGCGACCACTTCCGTGCCGTTCAGAATCTTCACCGTCCCGTTTTGGAAAATTACCGACATTCCCGCACTTTCAACCTTTCTCACGGAGAATAGATTTCATCTTGCTTCGGGTACGAAAAGCACGTCCTTCACTTGGCACTCAATCTTCTTCTTACCGACTACGGAGTTCACAACGATAGTTCCGGTGTACTTCGCTACGATGCTTTCACCGTCCTTCACAACGGCAATCTCCATCGGCCGCTCCAACCGGTGAAGCTTCACGAAAAGGTCCCGATTGTTTACAATGTGTTCGGACGCGCCGGAGTCCACGAACCACTGAATCTTCTTGATTGCGCACGGATTTCCAACACTGACGAAGCACACACCCTTGCCTTCTTCCGAGAAATGAGCGGTCTGCTTCGATTTATTCTTCTTCTCCTTCTCCTTCACAGGGCACTCTGAAGCTTTATGGCCAACCTTTTGGCAGTAAAAGCACTTGAATGTCTTCTGTTTTCCCGCGGACTTTCCTTTAGAGCTGCTACCGAACGCCGCTGATTCCTGCTTCGATACAGCACTCACACTACCGGATGCATTCTGCTTAATTTCCTGGTCCAGCAGCCGGCATTTCGCAAACTCGAGCGTAAGCGTTTCGGCTGGAAGCGACTCCATCGTCGTAACAACAGTTGCGTACTCTTCACCCAGGCTCAAAAGCAATCCACAGACAACATCGACATCTTCCATCACCGCTCCGATTCCGCGCAGCTGCCGGACGAGCGATTCGTACTTCAGAAAATGTTGCTGCAATGGTCCGCCTTCGTATTTCAGTTCCTTCAACTGTCGACTTAGGTGCATCCTTTTTGCAACGCTTTTGCGCTCGAACACACGAGAAAGTGCACTCCAGATGGCCTTCGGAGTCTCATGTCCCTGTACGTACTCGATTTGGCTGTCACTTATCCGGGAGACGATGAGGGATTTACATTTGCGTTCCCTTTTCTTCGCCTTTGCCAGCTCCTTCTCCTTGCGTTCTTTTTCCGGCGCCGTGTCCGCTGCATTGACGACCAACTCTTCCCGTTCGCGTGCTTCCGTCGTGATGAATTCCAGTAGTTCATATTCATCCAGAACTACCTCCATCCGATACTTCCACGTGGGGAAGTTGGTCCCGTCAAATAGATGCACACGATGCACATCATGCGTGTCCTTCTCCTCTTCCATTTCTCACAAATTCACCTTTTCCGGTCGATAAACACTCCCGAACCGATTACTCGCGTTATTCTGGGCCCATAACCTAATGGGAAATAGGTTTGACCGTGATAAACCGGAATTAAACTAGAGAAAATTACGGAGTAAAATAAGCACGTTTATATTCTTTGAGGTTTTGTTTTGTATATCATTTCAGGAAAAAGAAATTGACAGTTGTGTACGAAAAAAGGGGTTCCGACAGTAAAGTCGAATAGTGGAATTGCTACCTCTCAACATGTTTCACCTTATCCACCAGCGCTACGTGCTTATCGCACCACGACTGGAACGTTTCCACGTAATGCGACAGGCACTCATTCTGCATCCCACAAAGCGTATGGAATGAACGGAAGCACTTCTTCGCGCAACACCAAACGTTTGCATACCGTTCCTTGCAGATGTAACACTTTTGTCCTCGGATACGAGCTTCCTCATTTCTGATGTCCTCCTCCATGAATCCGAAGATTCCCTCCTCGTCTTCAGGTAACAAGGTACACGTAGCAGGTATAATGACTAGTTTTGCCACGTCTAGTAGCCCGGTCCAGAATAGAGCATCGCACCATCGTACCGCAATCATGCTCAAACGCGTGACATACAGCATCTTTAGCCGAAATAAATAATAAATTGAACAAAATTGGTTTCATCCGATCCTCCTTCATTCTCACCATCTCACCTTCAGCACGTCGATCGATTCGATGGATTTCGGCATGATTTTGGAGTAAATTTTCCTCCTTCAGATCGCCCTCGTCGAGAGCTTTCAGTTCCTCTACGGAGGAGCAAATGCATACCGAGTATGGCCACCCGAAAAAAAAATAATTATAATAAAATAACGAAATTACAATGATTTTTACGGTTGAATTTCGGGCACATTATAAATTTATTGTTAAATTATTGGACGGGTGAAAAAATAAATTTCGTTTTAAAAGATACAATTCTCAATGAAAATTAATTTGATGAGATCAAATTTGTTCGAGAAAAATCAGTTTTTTTATTGTTAAGATGCTTAACAACCCCCCTTTTTTACTGTACATTTCTCATATACCATGATTTTCGTTTTGATTTTATGATAATCAACAAAAATCTCCATTCAAAATCATTATATTTTTATTGGATTTTTTTACGGTCGGGTCCTGTTTGGCGTCCAACAACGATATCTTCTCGGTCGCGAATGACCATGGCTTTGGTTAGGAGCACCGACTGATGAAATCTTTAGCAACAATTGCCGCCAAAAAGCGCGAGTCATTGACAGCTCAACATTGTTTACTTGTAAGCAAATGTTAACCCGATGTGTTTACTCCTAATCATTTTGGCCTAAGGTCTTTCATTATACAAAAGAAGTGCAGATAACAATGAACACAACATAGTGACATGCAGTTTGACAACAGGCTCTCCCTTTCAATTTTCGTTAGAGAAAAAGAGATAACAGGCGGTGCCCCAATAGCATCAACTACTTTAAGCTAGTACATATGAGTAGATAGTGTTGCCGTGAGGTACACTCGAAAATTTCAAATGTAAGTGCGTCAAACCAAATTTCGAGCCGCTCCGTCTGTCACTTCGTTTGTGGTAGTAGTGTTGCCATGTGTTTCAATCCAGTAGTAGTGGTGTTGCCATGTGGTACACTGAAAAATTGCAATAGCAGGTTAGTCACCAAAGTTTTCGAGCCGCTCCGTCTGTCACTTCGTTTGTGCTACTACTGGATTGTACCACATGGCAACACTACTAATGGATTGTACCACATGGCAACACTAAATTTACTAGAATGTTTTGGTTCTATCTCTATCAAAATGATACACTCTTTGCACACTGTCAAAGATCATATTGCACACAAAATCAACTATGTTCAAATCAAAACAAAAATACTAGCCCATCTGGTGGCTGATGGCACAAGCTTCTAAGAAAATTCTATTACAGCGAACCACATTATTTTAATTGATTTCTTCGCCAGTTAGTTGACGATATTTTTCCGAAGAATTTTCTTTTAAGAGTTATGTCTGTTTGTCTGTGGTAAAAGCACAAATGAAGTGACAGACGACTAAAGGCCCAATGACAGCGGAAGCGGAACGGCAACGGCAGTGGAAAAGCCCGATCTGAGTAAGCCAACTTGTCGGATTGAACACTTGTTGAAACCAAATCGACTTCCGTTAGGCATCTTGATGTCATTTGTGACAACTGTCAAAGTAATGACGTTTTTACGTGCTACGGGATAGGACACGGAATGCAAAAGAAATTACTTTTCCTCAGCATTTCTTGACCCAGTACGCAGTTCAAAAGAAATCGGTAAAGGAAAGATCGATTACATTAGTATCGTGATCGACATGAAGGTGGCGCATTCTGAATGCAATTTCACTTTCCTTGCGGAATAATGGTCTGATCCATTATTCCGTTAGGTAATGTTGACGTTTATTGCAAAACTAATGTTTTGGATGCATTTAAACAACATAAACACTAATAAGTGTTGATTTTACAATTTGACCACATCTCCCTATAATCTCAAAATTAAAACGCGTGGAGAATAGAAGAACTATGAAAGTGATGATGGTTTCAAAATTTTCCACGGGGAAGTATACGAGTGCAATCTTAAAATGCTTTTATTTTGTGAATGGAGCATTTTATTTAAATCTGGTAAGTGCTACGTTAGTAGAAAACTTCAGGACTACTCAATAGACATATAATACAGAAAACTTAATTTCTTTTCAGATTTTTAGTTGTAAACATAGACTTCCGCTTTTCTACCACTGTATCAGTAACCAGATTTAAATAAAATGCTCCATTTTCAAAATAAAAGCATTTTAAGATTGCACTCGTATACTTCCCCGTGCAAAATTTTGAAACCATCATCACTTTCATAGTTCTTCTATTCTCCACGAGTGCCAACTTTGATTTGCCAATAGCTGTCAAATTTTCTTTTGGGAAAAATCCACAAAAATTACTTTTCCGTTTTCTTTTCAGCTGCGTACCAGGCTTAACTGGCGAAGAAAACAATTAAAATAATGTGGTTCGCTGTAATAGAATTTTCTTAGAAGCTTGTGCCATCAGCCACCAGATGGGCTAGTATTTTTGTTTTGATTTGAACATATATGTTGCCGTAATTGGCAAATCAAAGTTGGTACTTGTGGAGAATAGAAGAACTATGAAAGTGATGATGGTTTCAAAATTTTACACGGTGAGGTATACGAGTTCAATTTTAAAATGCTAATAATTTGCAAATGGAGCATCTTATTTAAATCTGGTTGATGCTACGTTAGTAGAAAACATAAGGACTACTCAATAAACATATAATATAGAAAAAATAATTTCTTTTCTGATTTTTAAGTGTATACATAGATTTCAGCTTTTCTACCACTATAGCAGAAACCAGATTTGAATAAAATGCTCCATTTGAAAAATAAAAGCATTTTAAGATTGCATTCGTATACCTTCCCGTGGAAAATTTTGAAACCATCATCACTTTCATAGTTCTTCTATTCTCCACGAGTGCCAACTTTGATTTGCCAATAAACCGAAGAGAATCGGTCCACGAGGATAGGCCCTTTTTCAAATTGAACGCGAGAAATCGGGATTAAAAAGATCGATGTTCCAAATATCAATCCAAGATCGCCCAATACTAATAGATAGCAGTCGGCATTGAGGTTAAAGAAAAGTCCGGACTGCGGAGTGATGTGATCAAGTTTTTTCAGATCATTAAAACCATGTCAATATCGAAATTAATTTATTTCTTGCTGCTAACATCGCAGGTAACTGATACAAATTTAATATTGTTGCGGTGTTAAAACGAATAATTAATAACAGTTGATTACCTGCTGGAGCGGCATAGATGACAGCACCGAAGTGGCTCTGTTCATGCGGCGCAAACTAGATCTATTGTCTGACCGGATGATTAGGCAGGTTTCTTCACACGTGGTTGCCCCAGGTGAGTGTCATGGAAATTAAAAGAAGAATATGAAAGATTTATATGGTTAGACTTAAACTGGGTAATAAGTTCTACTTAGGCTCTGAACCATTTGGTGGATTATTTTAACTTTTGGTTAAAATTTGACAGATGGAAAGTTATCGATTAACCCTGCTATCCGAGCGTGGTTATTTCTGACAGACAAGAAGTTAAATTTTGACGACCGTGGCTCGAAAACCGGTCGATCGACAGCACGGGGATTTTCGAACATAAGAAATAACTTTCGAAATGTCACTTTTAACCACGAGTTAATTTCTTTCTAATTTTTTTTCTATAACTTTCCATCTGTTTAATTTTAACCAAAAGTTAAAATAATCCACCAAATGGTCCACAGCCTTAGGCTGTGTTCCATTTGGAAAATTTTCACTTATATTTGACACTTCGAAAATAAATTAAGATGTTCGAAAATCCCTCTGTTGTTGATCGGCCGATTTTCGAGAAAGCGTCTGTCAAAATTTATTCCTTGTCTGTCAGAAATAAGTCTGCAGGAATAGCAGGTTTATTTGAAAATTTTCCATCTGTCAAATTTAAGTAAAAATTCACCAAATGGAACACAGCCTTAGAAAGTTTATCAATTTTTCTAACAGGTTGTGTCATACTCGGTGGGTAATATAATCTTATAGATGTGATCTATTTTGTACAGGGCTGGAACCTGCCGCATGAATGCGAAAAACATTACTAGACCTTACAAAAAATTGTTAAAAATAATTATTGTTTATAATCCCTGCTAAACTTAAATTGAAATGGTTATGGAAATTTACATGAACGTTCATGTTTTAACCTTATGTATTATGGTTTTTTTTAATGAACCAACCAAATTTAATGGGTTGTTAAGAACCATTACCATTCCAAATTCTTGTTTTCTCCATACATTTTTGGGAAAGAAATTATATTGGAACCATTTTATATCAAATTTTTTCACCAAATGTACTAGAATATTTTGGTTCTATCTCTTTCACTCTACTGAAAACTGAAATGCATAAAAAAATGACAAAATGATACGCACTCTTTGCACACTGTCAAAGAATCATTGTACACAAAATCAACTTTGTTCAAATCAAAACAAAAAAACTAACCCATCTGGTGGATGATGGCACAAGCTTCCAAGAAAATTCTATTACAGTGAACCACATTATTTTAATGAATTTCTTCGCCCGTTAGTCGTCTGTCACTTCGTTTGTGGTAGTAGTGTTGCCATGTGGTACAATCCAGTAGTAGTGGTGTTGCCATGTGGTACACTGAAAAATTGCAATAGCAGGTTAGTCACCAAAGTTTTCGAGCCGCTCCGTCTGTCACTTCGTTTGTGCTATTGGTCCCAAGCAAACGATTAACTTACCCTATTCTAGTTGAAATTCTATTACTACACTATGTTTGTTTTGATTCGCTATGAAAGTTTGACAGATAACATCAGGGGTGTGTGGATTCATGCAGAACATGCAGGGGTGAGTGAAATAGCTTGGGACTGCTTGGGACCGTTGTTCTGGTACTGAGTGAGCCAAAAATAATAATGATTTTCTTCGGGACCCAGTGGTCTTAGAGTTACCTCTATGGTATGACCTCATGACTTTTTTGACTTTTGACTTTAAATGATCTATATTACTTGAATTTGTGTGGTTTACATGTATAACTTATCAAGTGACACAGATGCGTCTTTTCAACTTTAGTTTCTTTGAAATTTCAATTATTATTAATTACAGTTCCTAGTCCTATCAGGCCTGTTTTAAAGTATGACCACCTTGGTGGGATTGGTTTGTTTTAAATTTGAAAAAGGAGACTACTTTTAACTACTATTTACAACTATAACTAACCTACAACTACTATATACACCTTATCTACTATATACAAATTACTTATCAAAGCATGTTCTGATAAATTACATTTTTGTGCAAATTTATTCTTAATTTCGTTTATGAAAATTCGTTATTCTAGTGTCGAAAGGACGATCAAGAACCATCCTCAGCACTCTATTCTAAGCGACCTGGATTTTGTTCCTGTGAGTCTGTGCACATGATTCCCACACCGGAGCTGCGTAGAGAATCGCAGGTGCTATGATTTGTTTGTAGACAGCCAGTTTGTTTACTCTTGAGATGCGGGATCTGCGGCAAATCAGCGGATAGAGACACCTAACCAAGGCAGAACACTTGACTACTGTTTTCTCTACATGCGAACGGAAGAGGAGCTTTTCATCGAACAACATTCCGAGATAGGTTACTTCGGCGGACCACTCAACCCTTGTGCCACACATGATTACAGTACAAGATGGAGCCGGTTTCAGATTCAACAAACCATCATTAAATTTTCAATCATCAAAAGCAGTTTTTTCGTTCAAATTCAAAATTCTGCCAATGAAAATGTCATCACTGTGTTCCGGTAAGGCAGTAGAATGCAATGATGACATTTTCGTTGGCAGAATTTTGAATTTGAACGAAAAAACTGCTTTTGATTTTTTGATGATGATTGAAAAAACAATGATGGGTTGTTGAACCTTCAGTTTGGGCGATTGCCGATGGAGGAACATGATCGCTTGTGTTTTGGAGGCATTGATTTTGATTTTCCACGTGGTGGCATAATCAGCAAAGGCGTTAAGGCATCGTTGAAGTTTGTTCGTTATTTCGCGAGGCATCCTTTCTTTGACGGCTATTGCGGTATCATCTGCGAACAGGAAAAACACGCAACCGTCACCGAGGGGAGGAATGTCGGAAGTATAAATGCTGTAAAGCAAGGGGCCCAGCAGACTGCCTTGTGGGACTCCTGCTGGGATGGAAAACGTGTCTGAAAGACAACCATTCAACGATACCTTAAACGACCTTTGCTGGAGGTAGTTACGGGTGATTTTAACCAGATGTAATGGGAAGTTGAAGTTAGAAAGCTTGTACACAAGTCCGTCATGACAAACATTGTCAAGCGCCTTTTCAACGTCTAACAAGACCATGGCTGTGGACTTGGATACAGCTTTGTTACTTCGGATGTTAATCATCACACGTTGATGATTGGTGGAGTGCCCCTTTCTGAATCCAAACTGTTCCGGAAGGAGAATGTTGTTTTCCTCGAAAATCTTGAGCAAACGATTGAGAATGAGTTTTTCGAACAATTTGCTCAGCGCTGAAAGGAGGCTGATTGGTCTGTAGCTTGAAGACAATGTTGGATCCTTACCGGGTTTGCGGATTGGTATGATTTTTGCTACTTTCCAGATGCTTGGAAAGTAGTGCAGTTCCAAACATCTGTTGAAGATAGCGGTTAGAAGAGACTGCAATTTCATGCTGAGTCTCTTCAAGATCAAGTTGAATATACCGTCAAACCCGGGAGCCTTCATGTTCTTGGTGCATTTCAGCGCTGAGCAAATCTGTTGTACTGTAATCATATCCGCCGGAGGCACGACACAAGGGGAGGCATCTAGGTTTTGAACGCATTGAGCAACCTGATCATCGAGCGGATTTTGGATAGTGGAGCCAAGCAAATGCGATGAAGCGACATGCTTGCCGATCGCATTTGCTTTCTCCTGTGGGGTGACTCTGAGAGGTGGAACGGGTTTGGGATGAGTTTTCAGGACCTTGGCTACCTTCCAGAATGGTCTGGAGCGGTCATCCAGATTCTGGACAACACGCCGGAAACTTTCATTTCGGAGTGAGTCCATTCTGGAAGCAATCTGCCTGTTCAGATCGGGCATTTCACGTTTTGTGCCCAGATCTCCAGTCCTCTGAAACTGGCGAAACATTTCTCAACCGAATCAGTAATTGGGTGTGGGAATCAATAGCAACAAACTTACCCCTCACAGGAACTTGTCGAACGTATGCCTCGTCAGCCATGGATATGGCCTGTTGGAGTCCTTCCATCGTCCGGTCGATGTCATCTACGGTGTTGAGCAGTGGATTTTCATCGATGTTGCTGTCCACCATTCGTCCGTACTGCACCCAGTTGACATGGTGGTAGTCTTTGCGCAGGCAGCTTCTAGCAGGAACCACGTTGACACCGACTTCAGTCACCACCGGTTGGTGGTCGGAGCTGAGATCGTTGTGCGCCTCCGGCTTGGATAGTCCGATGTTTGACTGGAAAAAGTCCAGCGTGGAGGGATTTCCCGCCGGAGAGATGAAAGTTGGTTCGCCGGAAACTGCACAGTGTATAGTCCATGTTGCGCGTGGTCGAACAATAGACATCCGTTCCGGTTCCTCTGGTAGTTCCGCCAAGCTTCATGGCGGGCGTTCAGGTCGCCCCCAACGATGAATCGGGAGCTAGTACGGGTGATGGCGGTCAGGTCCTTCTGGATTCCTAATCCGTTGCTTGTGGTACACTGGCGTGGGCAGTAAACAACGATGAACCGGACGTTTCCAGTTGGCGATTCCACCTCCACACTAATGGCCTCGATGATAGAAGTGCGGATGTGGGGCAGAGTGCAAAACTTGATTCCCTTTCTGACGATGACCGCTACACCCCCCCCCCTGGAGCTGGTGCGATCAAGCCGGATAATGTTGTGGTCAGGCAACCAGAAGCTGTCACCGGACTTTAGGTGGGTCTCGGTTAGAAGAACCACGTCGATGCTATGCTTGCGGAGGAAGTCGGCAAGCTCAATCTGTTTTGCTCTTACAGAGCAAGCGTTCCAGGTAGCGATGGTTAGCGGTTTAGACACCATACTGGATGATGAACGTACCGAGCACTTGGATCTGTTCGGGCTTATTGCGGCACTTACGTAGAGCACCGGTCATGTTGACGAAAATTTCCATCAGTTCATCCGCTGATAACAGATCGGGGTTGTTGTTTTGCGCTAGTGGTTGTCTCCAGAATCCAGAGGGGGATGGAGAGCTTTGGCCAGCAGAATCACCAGAAGTTGCTTGAGCGGAATGCACCCGCGAATTCGCTTGCCTTTGCTGAGCAGCACGAAGAGGCGGGAAATCCTCCGTCCGAAATGCCGGGACTTTGTCCTTCTTGCGTCCTGTTTGAAGTTAGTTGCCGCCTGATTTCGGATG